ACAGTCATAATGCATCTGATCACTCTACACAATAATCTAGAAACAATGTGAATAAACACCACAACAGCTTAAGCTGCAAACTTTGCAAAACACAAAATGTATGTCACTGCCAAAACTTTTGGCCATGACTGTACTTCCATTACATAAAGAGTTGCATGCATCGCCAGCAGGTGTCGCTGTTAAGATCCTCTTGTTAAATGAATTGATTGTGAGCTGCATAACTGAAATATGTGAAATATGAAATATTTTCCAAGTGTGGAAAATGTATTTACAATACTTTACAAAAAGGAAATGAGATTGACAACAACTTATCAACTCAAAACCAAAATTCACACTGCACACAACAGGCAGATCAACAGTAGCACACTGCAGCAAACACAATAGCACATGTGCACTAGAACAACAGGAAACCACAGGCTGAGCAGAGCTCCCTGCAGATCCTTTTATTGCTGCTCCTATAGGTCACATTAGCACCAATCAGATCTCGAGATCACTTTAGTAGGATCCAATCCTGTGAAAGAAAAGGTGGGACAAAAGATACAGAGAGAGAAAAGACCAGCAAAGCAAGACATATACACAATACGTCTCAAGACATAACACCCTAGATTTAGTTCAATAAATGTATAATATTCTAGTACTTGGTATGTCCTCCATAATCTTCAGTATACTGCTCTGACCCTTCTTGGCACTGAGTGTACAAGTTCATGACAAATTGTCACATCTGTCCTGTTTCACTCCTGGATGATGACCTCCTTAAATGCCCTGATCTCTAATGGAGAGTGCTGCTCAACTCGTGTCTACAGAATCCCCCGCAGGTGCTCAAGAGTGTTAAGATTGGGTGAAATACATGTCCACTGAAGGATTTTCACCTTGGGAGAATGAATCAGTCGTGTTGAAAGAAATGCCCAGCAACGCAGGGAATGAGGAGAGTGTAGCATCTTCTGTTTCAAGTTTTTGTATTACATCACACAGTGGTGTGTGAATTCATGACAGCACTGATAAATCACAAATCCCTCACACCTTCAGCACTCATACGTCTTTACTACCACTGAACTTCACTGTGGGAACCAGGCACGTCACACTGAAATCCACCACTAGCAACACCAAAATATTTTGGATGATTTTAGATCTGAAATGACTGACTTGGTCTCACGAGACCAGAGTATGGATTCCCAGAAGTCTATTATTTTGTAAATATGGGCCTTGGAAAAGGCTAAATGAGTTTATTGTGCTTTGGCTACAGTAGGTAGTTCCAGTGTGGACAACAACCATGCATGTCACATCTGATTATGTCAGGGGCCTTGTCACAAGTTTATTGTTTTTTAATTTCTGTTACTTTTGCTGTATTTTGACACTTAACACTATGGTTTGGTATTCCTCTTGTACCACTGTCTTCTTTTGTGCAATGAAATACAGTTGTGCTCAAAATTATTCATACCCTTGGTAAATACGATCAAAGGCAGCCCTGAAAATACGTCCGCATTGTTTATCCATTTGATTTTTCATTCAAACATTAAAAAAAAAATCTAACCTTTAATTGAATAAAAAAAATGTGAAAGTGGGGGGAGATCATATTATGAAATAATTGTTTTTTTCTCTAATACACAATGGCCACAATTATTGGTACCCCTAGAAATTTTTATGATTAAAATATCTCTTGAGTATATTTCCATTCATATTTGCATTTTTTTATTACACCAGGGTGACTAGGAACATGAAATTGTCCAGCCATGACTTCCTGTTTCAAAGGAATATAAATATGAGGAACACAAAAGCCAAATTCCCTTAATCATCGATCACAATGAGTAAAATCAAATAATATATTTCTGATGTGCAGAAAAAGATGGTTGAACTTCACAAAATGGAAAGTGGCTGTAAGAAAAGAGCTAAAGCATTGAAAATTCCCATTTCCACCATCAGGGCAATAATTAAGAGGTTCCAATCAGCTAAAGATGTTACAAATCTGTCTGGAAAAGGACGTGTGTCTATTTTTTCTTAAAGCATGGCGAGGAGGAGAGTTTGAGTGGCCAAAGACTCTGAGCAAGATCAAAGCTGGAGAAAAAATACCCCATGTCTACAATGAAATATACTGCTGTATCTTTAATGTTGTGGGCCTATTTTTCTGTCAGAGATCCTGGATATTTTGTTCAGACTCACGGCATCGTGGATTCTATCGAATAACAACAGATAGAAAACAATTAAAAACTGACTGTCCATGCTAGAAATCTTACAATGGACCATGGTTTGATCTTCCAACAGGACAATGATCCACAAACAAACATCAAAATCAAACCAAAAATGGGTCACTGAGCACAAAACAAATATTCTGCCATGGCCAACCCAGTCCCCTGACCATAGCAAATGAGTGAGGTGAACTGAAGAGGAGAAGCACCAACATGGAGCTGGGAATCTGAAGGTTCTGGAGTGATTCTGGATGAAGGAATGCTCTCTGATCTCTTATCAGGTGTCTGATCCAACTCTTCAGGCATTATAGGAGAAAGGTTGAACATACTTACCTGTTGATCAAAAATTGCTTTAAACTTACACCAGATTTTTTTTTTTTAGTAATTTTCAGGAGGGTGTATGCCATTTTATCACTTTGATAAGAAAATCCTAATTTTGACATGCTTCTTTGGTAATTGATCAAGCAAACCTGCTGGAACATTATATCTGTAAAGAACCCTAACATGTCTTCTAAGTAAAGAGTAATTGCTGAATTTGTTAGTTTCAGAGGAGGTGTACTAATTTATGCTGTGCTATATATATATATATTCTAAGTATAAGTAAAAAAAAAAAGTAATTATAATAAAAATAATTATTAACCATTGTTAAATGAAATAATCTATCTATATATTATTTTATTGTTATATATTATATCGTTTTATATACAGTATTTTAATTAACAATAAATGATAATAAAAATGATTATATTTGTTGTACTGCCTCATAAAAATGTCACAAAGCAAAAATCTTGAAACTTAATACAGTTATTATAAATCATCTTTCTTTGATTTGGGGTGAAATAACAGGATTTGCTCTTGAATTATAGGAGTATTTCAGGTTTCAGGAACATACACATTTAGAAGAAGCTCTAGAAAGTTTAAAGCATCATTGCCTGATGTATTTTGCTGTCCTGACGTCATTCAAAAGCAATTTTAATTATGAATCCGATCATTCTTAAGCTGCTGATCCTGCATTATCATGCAGAAAATAAGCAACAGTGAATGACAGAGTGACTCTGAATCTGATGACATTTGGTTCATATCAGCATTATGCTTAAAGAAATGAAAGCTTGAAATTCTCCAACTTGGAAGATTTTTTTATTTTTTTTTTAATCTAACATTCAACAATTGCATTGTATTTGCATACTAAATTTGATTGGTCTTCGCATTAGTTTGAGTCTTTAGACCTTTGACAGAATATCAAATCAGATGTGGTTTAGATGAATTTTCAAAATGAACAAATAATGAAATCTAGAGTCAAGTATTATTGAGTTTCTTGCAAGACTTTAAACAGATCTATGCCTCTATGCCAGATCCAAGTAAATTATGTCTATCTATCAGCTGCTGTATGAGGTTATACAATACAAACCCATCATCTGTCTGTCAAAGATCGGTTCGTAGGACATAAATAAACGCTAGATCCAGTTCTTTGGTCAAGATAGTTTTATTAAAGGTAGGTAAATGCTTCCTCCTTCCATATTCTTGCTACCTAATGAATAAGATTTGTTGTTGATGTTGTTGATAGAAATCCGCGAGCTTTTTCAAGATATTGGCTACATTCAAATACATCAAATATACACAGTATGATATAGTTGCTTAAAATCACTGGTTGACAGTAGAACGTCTCCTACAGTAATGGAAAAGAGGACAACATCTCCAAAGACAGTAGAGCACAACAGCGGTTTATTTAACAAGCCAAAGAGCGTAACAGTAGACCTCTACCAGAGAAATCACATTCATTTTCTCCAAAGAAGGTTGTTAAGTGATCGTGTGTGCTTCTGTGGATTTATTTTTTAAAAATCATCCAGTTTAATTGCTAAATCCTACACCAGATGAACAAAGATTCATTGAAAGTCGCTGTTATTATGGAAATGGGAATCACAACGAAACGGATTAAAAGCGACCACTCACTCCCAATGATGCACTGCAAATGACCTACAAGAAAAATCTTTTTTAGTTTGTATACTTCAAAATTCACATATTCACAATTTTACTTATCGTTTTTTTGCAACTGTTTGTAATTTGTGATTTAGCAATTTCTGAGTGATTTTTTCCCCTATGTATAGTAAATATTTTTATTTATACAAAGAGCCAATGATTTATATTCAATATTTTATTTTATTTTAGTTGATTTTATTTATAAATACAGCCAATGATTTATTTCACTGTAAAAAGTTTTTTTGGAGTTCATTTTACAAGAAAAACACTTTCCAGTTTTTCTATGTCAAAAGTTCACATTTAATTTAATGTGTTACTTGCTGTTTCTTTGTAAATGTTTGTTAAATATAATAGCAATTTCTGAGTGAAAATTGTTTCTACACCAAATTTGTTCAACGTATAGTCAATATTTTAGTTTTATTTAATTATATTTTATTTATACATACAGCCAATGATTTACATCACTACAAAATAATTTTTTTCTCCAAGTTGTAAATAAAGATTTTTGGAGCAAATTTGATAAGAAAATACCATTTTTAGTTTTTCTACTTCAGAATGTCACATTTAATGTATGCGGTTTCTTTTTAATTGAGAAATTTACTAGGAATTTATGAGTGAAAATGTTTTTTTTTTCAATGTATAGTCAATATTTTTACTTTATTTATACATAAAGTCAATGATATATAGTCAATATTTTATTTTATTAATATTGACTGTCATTTTTTATTATTTTAACATATTTATGTCATTCACAAATATTCATGGATTGATTAGTTTAACAGAATTTAAGTACACAGTTTAGTACAAGTGTCTTTTTAACCAATTTTCAAATACTTTTTCTGTATAAATCAAACGTTGTGAATAATGGAGAAAATGAATGGGAAAAATACTTGCATTATTCAAGGCGGAAAATGTCGGCAGTCACAGTTGCGCTCTATATACAGAGACAAGTACGTCATGTTGTTGTCAGTTTACCACATTATAAGGCTCTATTTTTAAAGTGCACAATACTTGGAGGAGCTCGTGAAGAACTTCAGCAACAATAATAATGACTTTTCAAAGACTGTATGAGTGCTTATATGACTAAACGTAGAGACGATACATGATGACGATGAGTATATAATAGTGGCCCCGAATGATACACACTTCAGACACAATGTTCAGTTTGTTTGCGCTACACAAAAACCTTCTGTAAATCAGATTTTTCTGTTGCTTTTCTCTCGGATAATTAAAATACACAGTTGTGACGTCAAGCAAATAATGACATTCATAAGACGAGAGAAACTCTCCCAAGTCCTCAAAGTCTCTGACTCCATCAGAGATGGATGTTAAGAAATGAAACACGAGATTATGAGGATGGTCGACTCCCTCACTAACTAGGAAGAGGATTTGATGCTCGCCGATCTCCCCGGTGGTGAGGATGACGAACTGCATGACTGCATGTTTCCTAGTAATTCCCGTGTTGGTTGTGAAGAATAAACGGCCCAGAATTACCCGCTCACTGATTCACAGATGGGACATAGTCCGGGCGACGGGTCTGGATGATCTTGGGACGCATGCGTTTGCTGCTCTCTGCAGTTTCATCTTCGTCGTCTGAGCTGTCGTCCTCACACACGTGTACGATCACACTGGGTGTGTTGGTGGTTCCAGTGTGTAGCTCATACTGCTCTCCTAAAAATGCATGCAAGCGTCATGTTACGAAAACACAGCAAGTTCTACCAAGTAATATTGTACAGATACAGATTTCTTTATGTTTTTGAAAGTTTCTGCTCACCAAAGCTGCATTTAATTGATCAAAAATACAGTAAAACAGTAATATTGTGAAAACATATTTCAATTTAAAATAGCTGTTTTCTATTTGAATATATTGTAAAATGTTATTTATTTCTGTGATGCAAAGCTGAATTTTCAGCATCATTAATCCAGTCTTCAGTGTCACATGATCCTTCAGAGATCATTCTAATATGCTGATTTGCTGCTCAAGAAACATTTCTGATTATTATCAATGTTGGAAACAGTTGTGCTGCTTCATATTTTTGTGGAAAATGTAATGCACTAACATTGAAAAAAGAAATTACTTTTGTTCAGCAAGAACACATTAAATTGATCAAAACTGAAAGTCAAAACATTTGTAATGTTACAAATGATTTCTATTTCAAATAAATGTTCTTTTGAACCTTCTATTCATCAACCAATCCTGAAAAATAAAATGCTTTCCACAAAAATACAACGCAGCACAACATTGATAATAATCAGAAATGTTTCTTGAGCAGCAATTCAGCATATTACAAAGATTTCTGAAGGATCATGTGACGTTGAAGACTGGAGCAATGATGATGACAATGCTGACATTTTACAATATATTCACAGAGAAAACAGGTATATTAAATTGTAATAATATTTCACTTTTTTACCGTATTTTTGATCAAATAAAAGCAGCCTTGGTTAATTATTCCAAACTTACACTGGTCAACAGTGTAAATGGATTTACTGACACTTTTGATTAATTTAATGCATCATCGCTGCATAAAAGTATTATAAAAAAAAAAAAATCTTACTGACCCTTACTGACTGCATATGTTGTTGATATATATAGTTCAGGACTCAAAAAGGCTTTCAGTCCCAAAGTATACAACATTGATAATAATCAGAAATGTTTCTTGAGCAGCAATTCAGCATATTACAAAGATTTCTGAAGGATCATGTGACGCTGAAGACTGGAGCAATGATGATGACAATGCTGACATTTTACAATATATTCACAGAGAAAACGGGGTATATTAAATTGTAATAATATTTCACTTTTTTACCGTATTTTTGATCAAATAAACGCAGCCTTGGTTAATTATTCCAAACTTACATTGGTCAACAGTGTAAATGGATTTACTGACACTTTTGATTAATTTAATGTATCATCGCTGCATAAAAGTATTATAAAAAAAATAAAAATCTTACTGACCCTTACTGACTGCATATGTTGTTTATATATATAGTTCAGGACTCAAAAAGGCTTTCAGTCCCAAAGTATACCATGGAAATGAGGTAAATAAGTTATACCTGGTCCTAGTTTAGACACGGCACACAGCAGGTCATAGTTGACGACTGGCATAGCGTCCTGCGACTGTGCCCAGCCTACAGGGGGTGACGCCGGAGGAGAGATGAGGAACTGCTTCTCTGGTTTAGGAGGCTCAAGGCGAGGACTGCCGATATGTACCGACTGTACGGTAGAAGAGAAATAAATGGAGGAAACAAAAAAAATCAGAAAGAGACAAAACATTTGCATTTATATTTCAAATAGTTTTATCCAAAGTGATTCACATTACACTCAAGATATACATGAGCAATATCACACAAGTAGTCGTGCGATATGGCTGTACATCAGCATGGCTGTGATTCGGTTGTAGGTAATCACAGTGTGCCGATATACAGCCATATCGCACGGCTACTCATGTCACGGCTACGAGTGTGTGATATTGCGTTTATACAACAGTTCGACCACACGAGAATGTAAATAGAAAAGGAACAACAACAAAATGTCTTTAAAACCTCTCTTTTGTGCAGAACTACTTCCTTCCGCCACAGATTCAAATCTCAGTTTGACAGTTCAACAGCTGAGTTCAAGATCCGTTACTAATTAGAAAACGTCACTTCAGAACTAGTAACGAAGGAACATTGAGTTGCTTCATTGAAAGCTTGAATTACTGTATTAAAAGCAGCGTATTATGTTGAGTCGAGTATTATGAGAGATGGACTGAGCGAGTGTGATTACCTGCATCTGATACAGCATTCATTCTTCAGCTCAATCTCATATTCAGCATAAAACATTAGTTTGAATGTCCGCTGAGGAAAGCGATATCTTTGTCGTACTATCCTTTCATCTGGTTGATTTCCGATGACAGCGTTGCTCACTGCATATGTCGGCTGCATCTTACAAGCTGTTGTAGAAAGTAAAAATAACTTCCTTGTTTACAACCCTGTTTCAGTCTCTTTCAATATAAAATTCTTTACTGTTGACTCACTCGCCATCTAATGGCGGAATGATGTAACTGAATAATATTTAATAAACAACAACAGCCTTCATAAAAGTTAGCAAGCTAGGCAATTCAGTCAAAACTAGTACAAAGGCAGCGCTCTGATATACAGCATTAAAGGGATAGTTCACCCAAAAATGAAAATTACCCCATGATTTACTCACTCTTAAGGCATCCTAGGTGTACATGACTTTCTTCTTTCAGACAAATCCAATTAGAGTTATATTAAAATGTTCTGGCTCTTCCAAACTTGATAATGGCAGTGATGTGTTTTTGTAAGAAAAATATCCATATTTAAAACTTTATAAACCGTAATCTCTAGCACCCATTCACTGCCATTATAAACTTGGAAGAGCCAGGACATTTTTAAATATAACTCCAATTGGATTTGTCTGAAAGAAGGAAAAAAAAAATATATATCTCATGTTTAATCACTATAGAGACATCAGAGACATCAAATTCTAGAAGAACTGGCCGAGGTGAGGCTGCTCTCTGCTGGTTCATGAGTGTTGAATGGCCGCTGATGCCCTGGAGCTCAAAGCTCCGAAAATGTTGAAGCAGATTTTCAAATAGACATTATCTTTATTAACAAACTGCATATCTGAAGTCTAAACATGTGCATTCTTGTGTAAATCTTAAAATTACATTCTGTGACACAAAAACAGTATTATTTAATAAATAATAATATTATTTAATTTCACCCCTTTAATAAAGGGGTGACGTCGATTTCAATTTCAAATAGACATTATCTTTATTAACAAACTGCATATTTGAAGTCTAAACATGTACATTCTTGTGTAAATCTTAAAATTACATTCTGTGACACAAAAACAGTATTATTTATTAAATTATAGTGGAATTGGGCGTCCTCCATGACATTCAATGTGAGAAATACCGCAAGCGGAGTGATACAAATGGTTAAACGGTTGGTGTTCTGATATCACTTGAATATAGCACTCATCTCAGCCAATCAGATTCGAGAACCAGAAAGAACTGTTGTATAAATGTTTATACTTCATGCATTCATGAGAATCAAATAGTGGTGCAACGGATCACAAAACTCACGGTTCGGATCATATTACGGATTTTGAGTCAAGGATTGGATCATTTTTCAGATCAGCAAAAAAAAAA